TACACTTGAAATAGGCTCTACAGACAAAATACTAAATTTCTCCTTTTGAGTTTTCAGAATTAACCCTTTACTTCTTGCTTCACCAGCAATGCACAATGACATACCTCCCCCTCTCTGTTATGAACAGACAGGCATGCTAAGAAACCGCAGGACCTGTCCAGTTCCAGTTCCTCAGACAGCGCGGGTGTCCATGGGAGAGGAGGAACAAGACACGGAGACAGAGAGACAGACAGGTGCGTCCGAGCAGAGAAACATACTAGACCAGAACGCACATGTTTCAGCTCCCTATCAGGACAGAGGAGATAAATGAAAGAATTCACGGAGAGCACAATGGGATTGGTACCTTCATACAGCGACACAGTGAGATGTTTGAGGCTGTTCTGTATATCCTGGGCGCCGTCCAGTCGGTGTCCTGAAACACACGGGAAAATAGAGGATGAGTCGGCAGATTCCTGACTGAAGAGTTGCACCACAGCGAGGAAACTACCAGCACATGATGAAGACAGAGACAGAGAGGTACACAGGCTCACAGCCCTGGCACGCTTGGACTTATCACCAGTGCAACAAGGATCCTCACTCAAGTACGTCATAAAGAGGGGTCTTTGCAGATCAAGCAAGGGGGACGTGACCTGTGTCATACCTCATAGATGGGGGGGCGTTCTGTAGGTCGGACATTTTGGGGGGCAGGGCTGGACTTCCTGTCCTCCACCTGTAAAAACAGCAGCACAGCAGGATTCTGCGGAACACAGCGACCTTTGGACGAAGCGATCCGAGGAAAGGATCGGCACGGGACAGGAAAATCGAACTGAAAAAGGAAGAGGATGGGAGAGGAGGAAGAACAGAGGGGGGCACACGGACACGAAGAAGCACAAGGGAGAGCAGAATACCTCACACAGGAGAGGGTGAACCTCAGGACTGAGAAAGCAAGGTCTGCCCTCACGTGCCCCGGCCGTTGAAGGGGAACTGCAGTGCTAATTTCTTACACTGGCTAATTACATCTCGGTAACACAATGAATTCGGCGGAACAGGGTCGGAGAAATTTGACCAATTCCGAATTCAGCGCAAAATTGTGAACTTCGTGAAAGGACTGCAGCTCTCCATGTTGTCGCAAACTACCATTGGAGATCCCATGAATCGCTGCGTGATGCGGCCCTTCCTGCTCACTAGTCACTGTCATGCCTAATGTGATGCGATTTCCGGGTTAATAAGTACAGGTTGTGCAGCGGACTTTTCACCGCAGAAATGGTCCAGCGTGACCTGCCTGCAGAGCTAACAAGCGAGTGGTATTTGTTGGCAAAACTGTTTCGAACTCGAGAGCAATATTCCTCTTGGATTAGAAGAGACAGATTCACAATCCTGCTGGTTTACAGTGTCACTTCACCTCGTTCTGAATCGCAGAACATGGCGCTGCGCAAACCTGGTAATTTCCTCTATTTTGTGATGTAAATTGGGGGGGTTTACAAGCTACTCCGATTCCTCCTGTCAGGATTGACCCGCTGAGGAAAGGGAAGATGGACCCTATGCGGGACCTTAGGGGGCTAGACAAGAGGCGAAGTCCAAGCCGAGTTCCGAGGGTCGTAGAAAAAGGCAGGAGAGGAGGTTTCCACTCCAGAATTCGGCAAGGCTGAAGCCGTGGTCGAAAAGGCGGTTCCATGAGTCTAAAGATGAAGGTCAATAAGTCGGCCCCCAGATCCGAAAGGGCAAGACGGGAGACGTAGTCGAAGGTGAGGTCCGTGGTTAGTAACAAAGAGCAAGAGGGAAAACAGAATCTGAAGCGAGGTAGGTGAACGAACAAACAAACAACCAACCAATACCAGGCAAAGAACAGGGGCTTCTGGAGGGTTTAAGTATTGTGCAAGGGAGGAGGCGCGCTGATTGATGGAGT